AGCGCTATATAAGTGTAAGCAATTATTATTATTATTATTATTATTATTATTATTATTATTATTATTATTATTATTATTACACAGCTGCCTCGCATGCCGGCTCTTTCTCTTGTGGAAAAGGGTTTTTATCCAGAGGGATGCTGGTAGCTGCTCATGAATGCGTTTGTATGGTACCCTGGATGAAATTTTTCGGCGTTAACATAAGTTTCCCTGGATACAGAACTTAAATTAAAGTGAAGGATATTTACAAAATTCCTTGAGTATACCGAAAATCACTGAATTGATTTCTCTGGGAACTATATTGTTCCATTATGAGATAAGGACGATGGGCGGCAATGAGACTATATCCAAGGGTCGATTGTCAGTAATTGGAGACAGCAGAAACGTGCTTCTCTTATCTCTTAAAGCCCGTATTTACTGCTGAAAGAAAAGTTGCATAGTGACAGATTTTGAATACAGGCCAGCTATGTTTTGCACATTCTAACATACTGTATGCCTCACATTGTTAAAGATAAACATAAACATCCATGTTACAAAAGTGAAATTTACAGGAGTGTAATGTTATATTTTTACTCTCCCCCCGCCATCAAATTTCAATAACAATAAAGACGGCTCCAAATTAAATGGATTGAGAGGAATGCAAAAAATCTTCTCAATCCAGTTAATGCAATGCATCCTGTCATCTGTGTTATTCTGATTAATCTCAGGATCAAACCCTTGCATTTAGTTTATTCATATTTTCCCCCTGCCCAGCAGTTTTGTTCACTGGCATGCTAATGATGTTGTTGTGTTCTGAATGACACCTATATTATTTAATATTTCCTAGCTTACCTCAGCATTAAGTCTAGGCTAGATTGGACTATTGTCGAACTTCTATTATTCAGGTGTGTATGAATAAAAGAAAAGAATGATTGCCTTGTTTGTTTTCCTCTTTCCACTCGAAGAGGAAAATGTTTCTTGTGGAAGTGTTTGATACATTGTCATTTCCTCCTGTGTCTGTTATCTGTGAATTCATCAACTGTTAACAGCAGTAATGACAGAAAGAAGAGAGATAACTCTTAACAAACTAAAACAGAATTGGTGACATACGGTTCTGAATGCTAGTGCAGATGGAAAAGCACTAGCATTCAACACTGGAAAAGCCCGCTCGAAGCAGAATATTTCTAAATGTGGATACAGGTAACCAAAATTCAAAAGAAGCAGATCCTTTAAAGTCAACAATTAGCTGCAGTAATCAAGTGGATCACAAGCCAGGAGACACCCCAGGACCAGGACTGGAAACCCCTGTTCTAAGGACAACCAAGATGCTCTTGCAAGTGGTGTTGGTGGACCAGTAAGAGGTGCTCTTTCTGGCCAAAGCATATCCACAGTGCAGAGGGGTGTGAATGTCCGCTTTCTGACTAAATTCCACTCTGGGCTCGCAAAATCTGTCTAAGTAAAAGTGAAAAAGTGTTTCAGTTGTTTCAGGTCTGTGCAGGAGGTGTGCTGGTGGGGGCTGCACTATAGTGATGGAAGACATTATCTCCTAAAATAATAACAACAACAACAACAACAACAACAACAACAACAACAACAATAATAATAATAATAATAATAATAATAATAATAATAATAATAATAATAATAATAATAATATTTGATGGCATCTGGCTTGCACAGAGAGATTTAATTGCATGTTGTTAATATGATATAATTTTAAATAATAAAGAAGGGATGCCTTACTGTAAATTTGTACATAGTGTAACTTGTGTGTTGTATGTTTATGTTGTGTGTAGTTTAGAGGGCATATTGTCATTATTAATTAACACCTGTATAATTGAGCGTGCCTGAATTATTACTCTTTTCTCCAAAGATGTGCCAGAGAACAGATAACTCATAGGCCTCTTATTATAGCAACCACTTGGGTATATTTTTGGCAAATATCTTGTACGAGTTGGGGGGTTAGGGTTATTTATTTTATGTATTGATTAACCTGCTCAGGCAATTCCTGATTTTCTCTATTTTTCACCCTTTTGTAACAGTATCAATGGGTTAAGAAATCCACACACTTTTACAAGGGGTCTCAGACTCTTTGGACTGTGCGATGTCGCGCGGGGTGAGAAGATCTTGAACACAGACAAACCCCACACACAAGATTGAAAGTGAAGAACAAGGTTTTTATTTTTTATTTATGCCAATGGCCTGGCAGATGCTGATCAATGACAAGTGCAGAGTGAAGCATGCAGGTAGCAGAGACATAAATGGAGTTTATAACAAAAGGTCAGGAAGGATGATAACAACCAAGCTCAATCGGACTCAGCTGTCAGTAATTAGCAAATCCTGACAATCCATTCCTCTCCCAAACGCTATAAATGCCTACGAGATCCCTATCTCTCTATCTTGCATCCCACCTCCACCCCATCTCCACCTCTGGAGCTGCCCCTCGGTCACCCTGCCGGGGGGTCCTGGTCTCCTTGTCCTCTGGCCGGGAGGCCAGCCCTCAGCCAAGAGGGTTAAGCCACAATTTCGCTCCATGATACTTTATTCTTGGGTGTTTGTCATTCCTCGTGAAACTACAGTAGCTGATGCATTCAAGTTAGACTAAAAGGGGCTTTTGGCATTACCCTTTACAGACTTAGACACAAAACTGAATGTGCAAGTTAATTGTGTGTGACCCTCTCCATGACACTGTGTTCATTTCAGAAGAAATGGATTTTCTATGAGGATTAAAAGTATCACAAGCTAACATATCCTATGAAATGTAAGCATGCACCTCATTTTTATTTATTATAAATGCTTCCCAAGAAATTGAACTTTTCTGGTGACTGCATAAAGTAACACACACTACACAAAGATATTTACAGTGTATACAGTGCAAAATAATTTTTCTATCAACATTTGCATAGCCACTCTTTTATGAATTGGATACAGGTAACAACCTAATAATATAGAAGCATGACTTAATTTAAAATGCATTTATGCCTTTTTATACTAGTTGTAGTAACCAGCCTAAAGCAAACTCGTCAGTGTTTTCAGAATTTGTTTATTTATGACCAGAAAATTGTCATGCAGTCTTGCATTATTGCATGTTCGACACAGAAAATGAATTAGATTAGCAGATAATGATCACCTCAAACTGCGCTGCCTTTGAAAATGGTGGAAAAAATAAAAAAGGTAAATAAAAAGGTGAAGAAAGGCAATCTAATTTTATCTTCCAGGAATTCTCCTTTGGCAAATTACTACCCCTGAGTCTATTATAATTTTACTTCTCGGAAATAAGATCACTCTTTATTATGGTAAAAGTGGTGCTTGAAGACAGTGAAACCAGTGCATGGATCTATTAGCTTCTGTCTACCACCTCCAGAGTGGCAGCTGTCATACACAGTGGAAGACGTTTTTTCCTGCTATTCTGTCCTAAATATCTGTTTCTGTCAGATGTGCTGTGTTGTTAAAGGTCAGATAAGGCCAATTTGCAAAAAATTAAAAAATGCTTTACCTTAACAGTGAGTGACGTATGTCCAGCTCATGCTTCAAAGTATGTCAAATACTGTGCAAAACATCAAAATCCTTGGATCCTGAAATAGTACTCAACTCTGTGACATGAAGATGTCTAAAGCACATACTGACTCAAACTATACTGTGCATGAC